GTGTTGACTGCAGTGCGCCTTAAGTCCATTGTTTGATTTACGTCATGATTTAAATTTTCAGCCTCCATTATCACAACTATGGTTAATGCTCTGTTTGCAGTGTAAATTACGAGCGTGGCTTGCATAGTTACTGGAAGTGCTGTGCAGTCTGGTGGCAATTCAATGTACATGATTACACCTTAGCAATGTGACTTTTCACCCCTGCAATAAAACACGTTCACGATTCAATTCCAGAACTGAAGAGGACACAGCAAGAAGACCCTGGTTTCGATTCCGAATTGGCATCTGTCTGTGTGAAGTTTGTATGTTCTTCCTCTTTTTGCATGCGTTTTCTCTGAGTTCTCCGGGTTTCTCCCATAGCTAACATAGATATCACACAATGTAACTGCTATTGGCCAAACATCCCAACGCTGAAAAGGCACCAGAAAATTACTCAATTGTGACAGCCCATGTCAGTATTGGCTCTTCCTGCAACAACTTGATCAGACCCAGCAAGACTTTCCTGGATTAAAAAAACGTAATCAGAATTCAATCTTGGTTATCTTTTTTCCTTTACAAATTTGCTCTGTCTATACTATTTTTCTGAACTATATTTTACTGTGGCTTGCTCGCCATGGTTTGTGGCATCCGCACAAACCATGGCAGTAGATACACATATCTGATACACAAATGAAAAGTTAGAAACTCTCCAGTCGTAGTGTGCGACTGTGGTCATCCAGAACAGAACGTAGTACAACGTGTGACGACGCAAGGCCCCGATCCACAAACACGGAGACATCACCGCGATAATTATAACTCCGCTGCTCCTGAGGCGCTTATCTGGCTTGACCACCTGAATGTGAAATAGTAGTTGAAGCTCTGCATCTACACCAGCAGACATACGAAAGAAAAAGTCTAACGTGTACACGTCTCTGTAGGCTTTAATAGTATTACACATATGTTCTTTGGCAGTGCGTATTTGATCTATGACTTCTTTGAGGGCAGCTGCACATTAGAAGGCCGTCAAAACATTTCCGTGCACTGGGATATTCGCTGGCAGATTGACGTCACGTCGGTTACGCGGGAATTACAGCAAAGTGTTTTCAGTATTGCTCCGGTGACTGCAATGACGAAGTATGGTTTTGTAACTGTTGGTGTTGGGCGTTGATGGAGCTGCAGATTAATTATTGCTTATTCATGTTGATGTCAGCTCACGAGAGAAATCTAGATCGGCACAAGCGCGTCTGATTGATGACATCGGTCAGTGGTTTCACAACACCTGGCGTGGGCTTTTTCGATAGATTTTGCTGTCAAAGCATTCCAGAGAGGTCTCTGTCACCCCCCCGAGGTCTTGGCTCTCCTTGGTGCAGCCCCCGAGGGGAGGGGAGGGGGCAGGTTAATGTCACAGAGCTACCTGCCGAGCCTGCCTCCAGCCAAGTCAACACAACGTTTGAGGAGCTACTTCAGTTAAGGGATAGATGGCAGAAAGAGATGTTTAAATTTTTTTATTTATCAGGGAATAGTTGTTCCTTGGGCTTTCTCCCACCTCCATGAGAAGAGATAAAGACTAGGGTTGTTGAATGATAACCGCTAAACCGGTAACCGTTTTGAGAATTGGTTACCGGTTCTAAACCTCATGAACCAAATGTGGTGTACCCATTTATGGGGGGGGGGGGGGGGGGGTTGGACGTTCTTTATCGTCAGACATTCCTCCAGGACTGGTGTGGAGAATATGAAACCGATTTAATTTTTTGTTATGCAGTTACTGGTATTGCAAATGAATCTGATTTGAACAGCCCTGAGTGAAGATGGCCACAGTTACGGGCTGCAGTGTGGACACTTTTCCGCTGCTTGAAGTGTACATGTGGAGTGAATTGTTTACAAGTATTTCATCGTGAAATAACTTCCAGTCATTCCTCGAAAAAACTCCTTCTCACTGCGCAACGCGACTTCCAGGAATGGAGATACGCCCATCCCACAAATTGCTCTCCAGACGTGTACTTTAAAGTTTTCCTCGGGCAGTTCCGAGCCCCGAAGTGAGCCGTCGCAGGTGATTGTCGTGATTACACACGGAGGGCTGGCTGGCCGTGGAGAGACAAAGAAGGGTTTAGATTCATCTTAAAATAATAAAAATAAAACAATAAAATAATAAAACATAATAAAATAATATTATTATTTTATTATGTTTTATTTTTATTATTAATAATATTATTTTATAATGTTTTATTTTTGTTATTTTATTATTTCCATTCTACGTGACTTTAACGAAAGAACCAAGAAGATGAATCCCTGCAGTCACGAAAGCTTTAAATCGAAATTTAGGGTTTAGATTATTTCCGTAAAGGCCATCTGGCCTATAGGATGTAAACAAATATACTATTATTTATTTTATGTGGATGAATTGTTTGCTTATTTATTGTTACTGAATCTCTCTATAACGACAATAATTATTGTGATATATCCACTGCTAGATGAAAGCCTCCCCAGCCGTTGCCATCTCTCATGGTCTCGCAATGTATTTAAGTACAGTACGTTGAAATTATTTCGCACCGTACGTAGCCAACCGTGCTAATCGGAGGTGCGGGGAAGGACAACAAATGAAACACAAAAACCAGTTTCAAAGAAATGAATTTTCAATCTACGCGAGCTGCCTTCACCTCTCCGTCTTCACGGTGGACGTTCTCTCCGTCGTCTTCCCTTGAGTGCCACTCCTGCGATCATTCCCATCACCGGCCCTCCCGTATAGGGGACGCATCCTGACAAACCCAACAACTTATTGTGTGCAGTTTGAACGAGGTCTCTAACTTGCGCGTTCTCTAATCAATGTGTTGATATTTCCATCTCCGAGTGTAATTTCAACTTTGTGCACTTTTCAATGTCCGTGTTTCTGATCCACAGCAGATTATACCCGCCGATTATAACCGCTCCTATATATGCTCGCTGATTTTAATCTCGGTATAAGGGGCCATCCATTTACTACGTACGCATGGAGGGGGGGGGGGTGATCCATATGCATACGCTTGCCCTAGGGGGGGTCTACTGACAATGTCCGTACGTGTAGTGGGCTCCACGGAGGGACACACTTGGAGGCAACACGTTTATTACACGGCCCCAACAGGGCTACTACTTAAACGTGCACAGACCCCAACAGGGCAACTACATAACCGGGTCAGTCAGTAACATTCTGACTGATCCACGATGCCGAGCGAAGTCCGAAGATCGAAGAGACGCAGCACCGAGGGTTGGATCTTACCAGAAGGCTCTCGTCCAAGCATCACGTGTCCCTCGAGCCCCCTTTGGGTCACCTTGCTATCCTGCTCCAGTCACGTGCCCTCTCGGGTTCACCCATCTTGCCATGTCCTTACTTGCCCTCTCTCAGACCATCAACAAGAACTATGCCTCCTCGTGCCCGCTTGCATCAAGCGTACGTACGCAAGTGGGCGGTGGGGGGGGTGAAAAAAGTATGCGTGCGTACAGGTAGGGGGGAGGGGTCAAGTTTTGAGCGATTTTTGCGTACGTACTAAATGGATGGTCCCTAAAATGGATGGTCCCTAAAGTTACGTTTTTCAAAAGTATTCTGACCCGTTCTCGACCACCACGGGGGACGCTGCACCTCTGAACCCCCAGGGGTGGAAGGGGATCTGCATAGAGCCTGGGCAGCAGAAGCAGCAGCCTCTCGTCATAGTCCATTGTGCTGCCGCTGGTGGCAATGAATCGTGCTCTTTGAAGAGCCACACCTTTGTGGCGGGGTGGTGGAAGGCAGCCAATTCCTCCAGTCGTAGCTTGTACCACGACATCCAATGGCAGTGTGCACCACCTTGTAGGGCAGCAGTGAACGAACGAGTCCGTACGAGACCGTTGTCTGCTTATTTAATTCCATATGCTCTATTTATGTCATGTTGCCAAAAAAATGACTGTGTGGGACAAGAGGATATGTAAAGAACGACTTATTGTCTGCATAATTATTTGTATCGTCAAAACTGAACGCTTTCGTCAATATACACGCTGGCTTTAAAATAAGAACTGCATAATAGGAAATGTTTGGGGCATGAAATTTATTTACATACTATGAAGGGTCATTACACAAACTTCGCCCCTATCATATTGGTTTTCTTTTAAGGTCAAATTGTTATTGACGAATATGTTGAGTTTTGTGAGTGGAGCTTGTGCTTATTTTAACCCGAGTTCTTAAAAGCTGATCAGCAAGAGTGGCGACAGTGACCGATTGCTGGAAATGTTTCATGGCAGCACGAACCTTCACAAGTCACCTGCCTGAATGTCCCCAGAATAGCACGGCATTGTTGCACAACATTACACAACGTTACACGACTTCACGCAATGGGACACGGCAGCTTGTGCAACAAACACATCGCCCTCAACCGATCAAGAAAGTGGTTTAGTTTCCTAGCCGATTTTCGTTTACAGGAAATGTGTTTTATTTATTTTATCACATTATTTTTTATATATATTATATTTGAGCAGTTTTTGATTTCCTCTATAACACTTTTTCTTGTTTTTGCTCTGGTTTTTATTTGCTTCATAGTTGTACTTGTTTTTATGTTGTATTTGTTTTTCTGCCTTTGAAATGTTGGTAACCCAGGTTACTCTTGTACCTGAGACTTTATCAATGTTAAACCAAATTAACCTTAAATTGTATTTCAGCCAGGGCACGGCGGCTATGCTTTGCTTGCTTTGGAGGCAGGGGGTTAGCAGCTGGCAGAGTGAAACTCCCCAACGTGCTGGGTCGCTTTGTGGCCTCGAGATGGCAGTACAGCAAGTGTGTTGTTGAACCCATCTGTATGCACCTTTCCGGATTACGCTCCCATACGCGTGAGCTGGGTTTTCTCCGGTCCCTCTAGGATTCCACTTACATGAAGACAGACTTTGCTTAAAGTGGAATTTGTAAACTATGCCATGGTGCAGTACCCTCCTAATGAAAGGGCGTTGAGAATCCGTGAAACTGTCCCCTAGATATACGACACTGGAGTTCTTTACATTGTATACAATAAAACAGCACCACGTTTAATGTCAAATAATTTATTTCTGCTTGTACTGTAGGGGATTTTAACCATTCTTTTAAAACAATGAAGAAATATGAATAAGTCACTTATACTGTTCAACAATGCCTCAACATGTAAACTCAAATGTTTCTCAAACGTTCATCCTGTTTTATTTGGCTACATTCCTCTTCATTTCTCACTTTAGATAACTGTGGCGTAAGTGTGTAATTTTAAAAATGTGATTTATTTGAATATTGTTTATATTTTTATTAAACTGTCTTTGTTCGATGTACTGTCATTATTAAAGTTATTTTAATTGTTCCTCTCCATAATAAAATAACATTTCAACAAAACAACATTTTCCGTGTAAACATTCCAGTTCCTCATAAAACGATGGTCACTCTATTGCCAATTTAGTTTCAGTGGGATTTGTTTCAGTCTAATACACAGTAACTGTACGAATGTTCACATATATAGTCTGAGGTCAAAACATGTAACCATGGCAAGAACAAAACGTCCCTTCCAGAAAACAGATATATGTTTTTACTCAATGCACATGTTTTTAAAAACAAGACACATTATTTAATATTTCTTCAGCTCGAAGTTTCACTATAAATCCCATGTGCCTTGCAGAAATACATGCATTAATTACGGTATTATAAGCATGTGTTGTGTGTGAACACTCGCCAAGTGGCTCATCAGCCACGGCACGGGCTCAGCACGTGTCTACACTCCTCTAGAATCACATTCACATGCGATGTGAATCACACAGCAGTGGCTGCCACGAGGCTCCAGATTGAGGAGGCAATGTTGTTATCACAATTGAGTGATTTGTAAGTAATTTTTCAGAAACGGTATGTTTGGTTAATACCAGTTGCATTGTACGTTTTTAGAAACTCGTGCAGGCAAAGGGTGAGAATATACAAATCCCATATGCAGACCGGCGCTAAAGTCGTAATGCGAACCGAGGCTCCTCTTGCTGTGAGGTGCAAGTGTTGCCACTGCGCCATCCTGCCGCCCGACACGTGGAGCAGTGGAGGTGGAGTCTTTCGATAATTAGAACACAAAGGCATTGCGAAATAATTGCAGTTCCTTAATGCATATCTTGCACGTTTCTGGATCTCCATGCGAGTTCAAGTGTATCTGTAAGATAATCTGGGTCTGTGTGTAAGTCTATGTGCGTCTGTGTGAGAATCAGGGTCCCATGTGAGTGGAGTGGAAGTGAGATATTAAGACTTAATGGCATCATCACCCCGGCGACCGAACATCGATCAACGATCTCCTGGTCTCCAGAGCAAAAACTTAACTGTGTGAGTGGTTCAATTTGTGAGTCTATTGGTATCTGTGTGAGACGGAACTGATAATGAAACCAATGCATTTGAGTGTCTCGGTGATTCACCACCTGCGTGCATCATCACATGGGAAGTGAAAGCTCCGTCGGACTTTAGCCTGGAGCCTCGACGTGCCTCTTGCGATGTAGCCGCGTTAGTTACACATTCCAAAAATATGTATACCTGGTTCAATATGTAACATTCATATTGTACATCAACTCATGTCATGGTCATGATTCGAAAATGTTAATCTAAGCACTGTAACATGGACGTCTACAAAGTGGTTTTGTTAACTTAAGATTAAGAATTGCACAGACTTGAGTAGGCACTTCAGTTGCCACCCCCCCCCCCCAAAGAAGCCCCTCCCCGTTTCCACGTTCATATTCAACTTGAATTTGGCTGGCAATTTAGGCTGGAGCCCGAAATCTCTGGGCCGGTTTTTCTTCATGGGCAGGCCTGGGATTCCCTACATTCGAATTTTTTGTATGGAATCAAAGTCCGACTCCATGTGGAAACGGGTTACAATGCTACGGGCCATTTAGTTTTCTGCGCGTAAATGGAACACCACAACTTGTGAGTGATTCATGGCATGTGATCGTCGTGTTACAGTTCTCGGTTATCATACGTAACGCACCATGACCCGCATACACCGTGTTGGACGTGCTTTTCCTGTGGGGCAGTCCACATGTCGGCGTCTTGTGGGCCTTACACAGATCGCTACTCGTACTGGCTCATCGCCGGGTTGTCAAATGCTGTCGCTCTTGGCAGACGCACCTGAATGGGAGACAGGGGTTTGATGTAAATCCACAGAAGCGGCGCGATTTATATTGCCGTGAGACTCCATGCACGGTGAGCAGACTGGTGTGGGCTTGGTGACAGTGTGAGAGTGAGCGAAGGCCAAAGTGCTTACACACAGTCACGACTTCATCGTAAGCCATTGTCTCTCCGCTGCTGGATGCTGCAGGATGAAGGCATCCCTAACGGTCCTGTGATTTTACAGTTCATCTCAGTCCCGCACATCTACCTATCCTGACGCCGGCACACAATGGCCTACTCTTGCGAAGGACGTGAGGGGATCTTTACCGTCCCCTGCGAGTGAAGCAGACTGCACGTGGTACTATTTAGGTTATTACACCGACAGTGTTAATCAGGCGGCCGCTGAGTGCAAGCACGCCACGTTCTCACCTCCTTGTGAGGGTCGGGCTTGCTGTTTTCACGATAGGACAGCGTCTTGATTCCTGAAGCATCGCTCAAAATCGTGCTCTCCGGCATTGTGGTTATCCCTGTCCGTGAACACACGTGCAGTCAAACACATCAACACGAGATCGTAATGCGTAATACTGATTTTCATAGCGCGCTGCTTCCCTTTACACCGAGACGTCTCATCTCAATACATTTGGAAGGGCACCCTGCCGAGGCGGTAGGATCCCGCCCAGTGTGCCGAAGAGGGTGGCAAGAACACTCGCGAGATGAGCATCACCTCTTCACACCAGGTTCCCTGGCCTGCAAGCGGACGTGAGTCTGCCAGTAGGGGGCGATGATTGCAACTACGTGTAATCCCAATGGAGTAATTTGTTGGTCATTTTGCGGTTTAGGCAAATTTGGACCGTGACGCCGGTACACGATGGTCTACTCATTTAGAATGTCAGGAGATGTTTTATGTCCACTATGAAGCAGACGGTGCGTATTTATGGATAATAAAAAGTCGCAGTAGTAACCAGAGTGGCCTGTTGGATTCGAATTTCGAGCCTCTGCAGCAAGTGGCGAACGTGATATCCCTGGGCCGTGTCACCGAAACTTACACAAGGAAGACACGGTGCGATGTGATTTCCAATGTCTATGATCGTAGCCAACAGGGCAGTGCAGCAATATCTACGGTTGTGATCTTGTACCTATCTCTCTGCCTTCACCAACCCACACTGCACTATACCTGCACAACCCACACGGTATTGGGGAGGCCCTTATCCACAAGCTGATTGTCGAAATTATAGGTTTAAAATGTCTGTATTTGTGTCATTTGCTATGAATGTGTCACTTGAAAAACGAGATGTCCAATCTCAGGAGATTACCCAGGTGAAATATTGTAAAAATAATGCACAAAAGTAAAAAAAAAACGGCCTGGACACTTACATAAGTATTTCAGGGTCGTGTGACAAGCCAAATACATAGACGCATGTGACACACATTTTGAGTGTAAGATTCTGACAAGTGAGAATTGTTGATGTAATAAAATAGCGCAACTTACAGGGGATGTACGAGCCTTTCCTTGAGAAACTTGGGAACCGCGAGCGATTCGTCCCAAGGCTGTTGAGGAACAAAGACTATTTTTAAAAATATTTTACTTTGCGTTCCAGTTACAATCCATCCCTAAATACATAGCGCATGATATTAGCGCGTATGAGGTTGAACATGTTTTGCACTAATTTTGAGTACTCGGCATTTTGTCATATACCAATTCGTATGTTCACCTGCAGACAGGTGTATACAATGTGATGTGTTGGGCCAGATAAATATTTGGCATTACAATAAAAACATGCCATTAATATAACGATGCGTTAATCACCGAGTGATACGGATCGTGGCTTCGCAGGGCCATGACAGATAGCGACAGCCCGGACAGGCCTGCGTGCAGCAATGGATATACAGTGGCCGATGTCGATGCTGATGAAGACGAGGATAACGATGACGACGAATAATCTGCTGCGTGTTGTCTACGGGTCACGCTTCACTTGTGCGGCCCTCCCAGCTGCTTTGAAGAGGGCCTTGTAACGGTCCAACTCACCTGCCCGTGTCGCTGAAGCGGTCCCAGGCCTTCTTGCGGCGGTACAGCATGTAGCCAAGCAGGCCTGCGAGCAGCAGCAGTAGCAGGATGCCACCCAGTGTGCCAAAGAGGATGGCGAAGAACACTCGCGAGATGAGCGTCACCTCTTCGCACCGGCTTCCCGTCGTCTGGTAAATGCCTTTGTTGTTACACCTGTGGGGTCGCCAGGTATTAGTTCATGAGTTATTCTTAAACGCAGTTGCTGGGCACAGGACTGAAATGCCGAAACGGTAAAGCGACCAGCAACAAACAGCACTGTAAGACGTGTAATACGTAAGAGTGTAACACGCTGTTTGTATGAAGAAAGATTATTATAGGAATTTGAGCAACAAGACGATGAGAGGGAATTACAAAGTGGAGCAGTGCGAGGGAAGACGCATAAAGCGAAGTGTTGTGACCTGCAGTATCACGGTGGGTGGGTATGTGATTGAATGCTTGATTGAGTGGGTGGGTAGATGAGCGAGTATGTTATAACCTGCAGTGTTGCGACTGATCACAGTATGGAGAAGATGAAACAGTCTGGCAGACCCGAGACCTCCACATGGTTGGAGGAATCAGTGAGTGAAGCTCACGGGAACAGTGACTATGTTAGTAGCGATATCGATAGAAGAGTGATAATGAGGTGACTGACCGCCGGTGAGCGAGTGACTAGTTTAAAGCAATGAATGCTGGATCATCAATTTGTCAGTTGCGTAAAGATGGAGACATCCTGTTCAGTCTCAGTGAATTACGGAAACAGTAGTTTTGGCAAGTACCTCTGAATGCCAATATGGCCGATGTAAGGAGTGCTGTAACCAGTGCCAATCCCAGACACTTCCCACCCCACCCAACCCACCACACAATGCTCATGTCGAGACACAAAGCAGCAGCTGCCCACTTTAGTCTAACAAGTCAAGCCCAAGCCAAAGGGAGATATCAATCGCCACTGCTGATTTACAAAGTATAAACCGCTACGCCGCCACCCCCCACACTTTAGACACGCACGCAATCGTCCCGCGAGGGGCTCCATGGACCGTCTGCGAGCGACTGCCGCCGTGGCTGACGTGATGCACAAAGCGCGTGGCGTGGGGGGGGGGGAGCACCACGGACAAAGGTGTGCGAGCGATGCCGTTGCTTGTCGGCAGGCTGGCCGCTGAGTGGTGCGAGCGACTCGGAGCTGCAGGGGCGGTTACTCACACACACACGGCGCCCGTCTGGAGGTGCTGGCATTCTCCGTTTTTGTTGCAGTGGTTCTCGTTGGCACACGGGGACAGGCAGACAGGGCCGCTGGTTTCCGGCAGGCTCAGCGTGTAGCCCGTGAATGTGGTGTTACAGTTGTACACCTGGTCCAGTTGGTTTTGCGGAACTGGAATGCATCAATGCCGTGGTGATTATAGTTGCCATTAGTGAAGAACTCATCTCAACAGCAAAGTATTTTGAGATCACGATGCCTACGATTAAATGTTACCAATTGGCAGATATTTGTCAAACTGGCAGATATAGGCCTGCCTACACAATGTCAGTCACTGAGTTGCTTGACCATACTTCACCACACCGGTCAGTGCTTATTGGTTACTTCATAATTTATTGGATAGAGGTTTAATTCAATGCCAAATCTAAGTTTAGTCCGATCAGATGCATGAACAAAAGATTTATATTCAAGAACGATTACTTAATTACGAGCTCATTGCCGCAGGTCACCTGCTAGAAAACTTACACACAGCCACACATCTCAAAAGTGGCGTATCTCACCGACTGTCTGCTGAATGTCTTCCAGAAGAATGTTCCCCAAGTATCGCATCAACACAAACTTGGACCTGATGAGGGCCAGCTGGGTCCCATTGTAGATGGCATGGATGCTGCTGTCGAGTGGGTAGTCAAAGTTGGCCATGCAGTTCGATTTAATTGTGGAGTTCCCGGTAGAGCTGATGAATATAAGGGACAAAAATGAATACCAGTTAACTTAACGTGTAGGTTTTCACAGGTTTTCATAATTGTCGTTTGGGTTAGGTTATGTCACGATCTAGCCAAAGTTACCCTGTGAACCCTCCACCACCCGCCAACACAAATGAAAGGGTCACCTGGTACACAAGTGTTTAACGCGCCGCCATTTCCTGTTCTATCAGCTCATAAGTACGTTGAAGTTGAAAATTTAATTAACGCCATACATTGGTCATTACATGGTCTAACCAAAAATATATATGCATCACAAACACCAGTGTTAAAAGAGAACATATATTACACAACCACTATGCTATTGTGTGTCCATTGTTATTATTACCTGAAGTTTTCAAGAGATACTGCGTTGAACCCGGATATTATTTTCAGTTTGTTAATGACCTGTGAATCATGCAAAAATACGTAGAGTAGTGTTACAACCCAATGTTGCACGATTTCCAGCTTTTGTAACATTTCCACGTTTTATTTGCCGTTTGTTGGGGAAATTGACAGAAACTGTAAAAGAAAATACGCTTTCGAAAATTCGTGTTGCTCATGAACAGGGCTCGTAGTCAAAACGGACGGTGGTGTGGCCCACTGTATCGCGCTCGCTGCTCGCTGCAGAGGTTCACGGTTTGAATTCAGAAGCTGCCCTGATGATTACTGCGGTGTATATTAACTATAACAATACCACGCACCATCTGCCGCACCCACAGTGGACGTTAAAGATCCCTGTACCGTCATTCGTAAGCGGAGGCAATTGTGTGCTGGCTTCAGGGTCCAAATTTGCCAAATTAAAAAACTTACCCCCAAATCACTCAATTATATGTATGTTGAACTTCTTTCAGACTGTACATAGTCAACCCATGCTAATCGGAGGTGCGGGACTGTACACAGCAATCATCGCCCCTTACTGGCAGACTCATGTCCCAGGTCACTCTTACAAGTACTAATTTATACTGGTCTCTTGAATTCTTAACTTTTTTAGTAATATAACTTGAACTGAAGCCAATCAGAGAGTGGTCTGTACAGCAGCGGACTGGCACTGATCAGTATAGCAATGCACTGTCCTCTGAAATAGGGGCAATGCCCGACCAAGTGGGCAGTGCCCACAGATATGTGGGAGAAAAGTGGCTCTGCGCATCGCTATAAATTCCTCTATTCGCTTATTGAAGATGAGGTTGGGGTCAGGCAAGAAATTCGTATTGGTTAAAATCCTGCCAGCTACATCTGGTGTTACCTTTTTCTTTTACCTTAAAAACATATATATGTACTCTTAGTTCTTTAGGTAAAGCCACGTAGGTAAAAAATGAAATCAAAATTAATAAAAATAAAAAACAAAAACAATAACAATATTAATTTTGATTTCATTTTTTACCTACGTGACTTTACCGAAATAACTAAGAGTATGAATCCTTGCAGTCACGAAAGCTTCAAATCTAGAACATATATATGTAACTGAATAAAATAAAGCAATTCTCCACTTGGGAACTGAAACCAGAAGCAAGATTCTCAGAAAGGGGACTTAAACCCCTTACATTGTCAGTGTAATATATATTGATCCATCAATCATTATTGATTCTCTGAGCTCACAAAATGTTAGTCGAGTGACACACATACACATTTATGTTTTTTCCTTTTGTATATGTTGTATGTCATGTGTTCCCATGGACCGCTATACCTCCGATTAGCACGGCTGGCTACGTACACTGCCAAATAAGTTCAACATACAGACACTAGTGATTGCTACATTTACCACAATGTGTAAGAGAAAGAAAACTTTTTTGAATTTAATCGCAACTCTGAATTTTAGAAATGATCTATCGAATCGTCGGGGTGTCGAAGGTGTGAATCATTACTCCCCAATGTAGGGACAGTCTGGATAGGATTTGTCTGCTGAGCAATCAGATATGAGAAAGCTAGGACCAGATCCGTTTGGTTGGGAATCGGATTGATTGGACCTAATGTATTCAGGCCATATCAGTGCACCTTGATAAAATGTGATTTATATTTCTCATGTTTAAACTGGTCGGTTATTGTTACAAACAATACACATATTGGTTTAAGCAAGTTGTATAGTTATTAAATTGCTTCATGAGCCAGCCTCAGCGGTTAACCACCACCTTGAAGCAAACATCAGTGGCGGCAATGCCAACTTACCGCATTCGTCAGCTCAGCTTTGACAGCTTCTGTAATGCTATTGTATTTCTTGGAAATGAACCATAGTTTCAGAGCGTATTTCACCTTTGCAGCTCCTAGATGGGGTGCACAGAGTAACAATGTGAGGTGACAACTGCCCACGTGCGTGTCAGTATTACAATGCTTGATATTTCTTTATTTGAATGCACAAATTTCACACAGGAGATTTCTCGTATGAATAAGAACTCAATGCTTTTGGCCACAATGCACAATGTCCGCACACATATGACTCATAAAATGTGGACCGGAAACTCGGTGGTAGAGCAGCTGTCCGTGACCCATTTGTGACGCGATCGAAAGCATGCACAGCACACGGGATGATCACTCTCCTTTGTTGCATGCTGCTCTCTTCTGTCCAACGTGTGTTTCACCAGGCACAGAAAGTGGCACCAACCTGGCTTGCGAGAGACTGGGACGGTGAGGGTCCCGAACTGACACTTGTCGCCTTGGGTGACCGGCGTGCACGAGCACTTTGCCGCGCTGCAGCCTCCATCCACGCCGTCCACGTAGCACGCCCCGCCGTTAACGCACGGGTCACTGGGGCACGGCACGCTCCTGCACGCCGGCTTGCATGACTGCCCGACGGCTGGGAGGGAAGAGGAGAGGGGGTCATGTGGGCCAGCAAACGGTAGAGGGCGGTGAAGAGAGAGAGAAGCGTCCCCGTGTGAGCTGCGGCCAGGCTTGTTTTGACGGTCAAGGAGACTCGCTGCCAGTGCCCCCCTGGCCCTGGGTTCGGCCTCCCATTGACATTTAAAAGATCACGCACACGCGTGTTTGTGTTTGCAAGGAGCAAGTGCGCCCCTTGAGCAAGTTAACTTCCTCCTATGTAGTGTGACCACAAGCTCATTAATCATGTTGCCTCCTTTGTTGAGTCTAAGCAGGCACTTGTAACATAAGAGCTTGCATGGTACAGATAAAGGACTGTTTGCATAAACTAACATTGAAAGCTGTTAGTTGGTAGAGGAAGTGCAGTGCGGTAGCTTTACTTTTGAATTAAACAACACTCAGTGGTGGAAATGTGTCAGTATCCATATACATTTTAGTTTAGTGGCCACATCTGAGTCAGAATTAAGGTAATTTTATCAGGGGAAACACCGGTTTGCTGCAGCTGCCTCGTTGTAAACAGAGCGGCTGCAGGAACCCGTTGTGACTCTCCTCTCTGCCAGGCTAACCTGTGTAGTTCTCATTGCAGAAGCAGGTGAAGCTGCCGAAGGTGTTCTGGCACTGCGCGTTGGGCCAGCACGCGGTCTTGTTCTTGCACTCGTCAATGTCCACGCAGGCGTTGCCACTTGTGACCATGCCCGGCCTGCAGGAGCAGCTCTGTACTCCGGGGACGTAGAGGCAGACCTCCATGCGCTCGCAGACGATCCCATTGCCTGGGTGGGAGAAGAGGGAGGAGGACACGTCCTTGGCTTGCTTAGAGGTTTCAGGTGTAGAGAACTCAAAAGACAAGGAGAAGTCTGTCTGGCAAGAGTGAACTTGGTCGGCAAAAGATTACAAAGGCAAAAGCGTAAAAATAACTACAACAACGAAGTGAATAGAAATCAGAGCAATCACAACCAAAGAGAAAGTATGTATCATAATGGAGTGCCCTGGCAGCATTACGCTTGAGAGATATTGAAATATTGAACACAACTTCAAGACTATTTGAAACAGATTAATAACCCAACTCTATGAAACGTAGTATTCTGTTTAAATTTACTGCGGGCAGCGTCACTTGAACCCATATCGCCGCTCGCATTGAATCGTTGCGGGTAGGGAGGGGCGGAAGTGAATGGCCACACACGGCCACACACGTAACCTCCAGCATCGATCGCGCTCTATCCACAGACGCGCGTCACATACGCCGGAGTGGCCGTCACCTGTGAATCCCTCGTTACAGCTGCACGTGTAGCTTCCGTCCGTGTTGGCGCAGGTGGCGTCCGCAGAACAGGCGTTGGCCTGCGAGCACTCGTCAATGTCCAAGCAGCTGCTGTTGTCCGGCTTCATTTGGTACCCAGACTTACACCTGCAGTGACACGTGGAGAGAGCAGCAGTGCTTATTTGTTCAATTCTAGATTTGAAGCTTTCGTGACTGCAAGGATTCATATTCTTAGGTTTTTTTCGGTAAAGTCACGTGACTTTACCGAAAAAACTTAAGAATATTTGTTCAATGTTCAATTCATGAATTAGGCTACGTGGCTTAGCGGTAGAGCGAGCGGATCGCAATCCAAAGGTTGCAAATTTCACATCCTGGTTGGGAGTTGCCCATCATCTTTCTGGGGTGAATAAAATAGGTACCACTTTGTGTGGAAGTCAACAATGGTTATTTTATTGATGACCTCGCCACCGTCATAGAGATGCGGAATTTCCACCACTGGCTCAGGGCTGTAAACAGGAGATGAGCACCGGCTCAATGTTCATTTGAACAGAAACTCGCGACCACTTGTTATAAAACAGGTCTATATTTATATTCTCATGTCTTCGCCGCACGTTCTGAAGAGCCATCGCCAGACATACCAGTCGGTTTTTCTGTATATTTAAGAATGAACGAATCTTGAGCTCACAATGCTTGCATCAAATCGCGTGCGTAACAATCTTAGTTTTTACATGCACGTCGTTTGTAATGTGTTTAAGTGACCTCTACAACCACTCCTAGTAGGAGGGCAATCGAGAATCGCAGGCCGAATGCGACAAGGAGTCGTTATGCTACGTGCGACGCGACGTTCATGTGACCGCATGCGCAGCACCCTGAGCAGCTGCGGCTCCAGCTCCTCTCGGATTGGGGGGTGGGGGGCAGTTGGACTGTAATGTCGGGGGGCCACCGTGACAGTGATACACGCCATTGAGAAGAGTGAACATGAGTGGACCAACGTGACATCTGATCGTGCAGGGCCCAAGGCAGCAAGCCGCTAGTGCCGGCCCGGACACAGTGGAAAAGGCCGCCTGCACTCGTGCCACCGGCAAGGTGACGGCGATTGTGCCGGAGATACTCACACGCACACAGCTCCCGTGCGGAGGTGCTGGCGATTGTGCCGGAGATACTCACACGCACACAGCTCCCGTGCGGAGGTGCTGGCAATTGTTCCGGAGATACTCACACGCACACAGCGCCCGTACGGAGGTGTTGGCATTCTCCGATGTTATTGCAGTAGCTCTGATTGGCACACGGGGACAGGCACACGGGGCCGGTCTCTGGCAGGGTCAATATGTATCCCACGAACGTTGTGTCACAGTTGTACACCTGGTCCAGTTGGTTTTGTGGAACTGAAAAACAGATGCCGTCGTGGTTATGGATGAGTTAGAAATGCACCTGGTCTCACTGCAACATTAAAGCATACATGGGAAGTCAATATATTTTCAGAAAGACATGCTTAAATCAAGTTTTCTGGGAGGAAGCTGGGCAACTTATGAGTCAAAAAGCACTTCAATAAATAATGTGTAACCTATGGGAACCTCATTTGCCAGTAAAAATATGATAATTGGTTTTTTACCCTTCTATCTGGCAACAAAACTGACACCTTTTTACAAGGAGTCATGTTTGCATAGACCACAATACCTGCAGTCATAATGCAAACAAAAAACATAACTCTGATAATGTGCACTGTCCTTGAAGTTGATTGGTCCACACCCGAGACAGCTTTCCTTAGAGCCTAGTCTCACATGGGTTGGACCAGATGACGCCAAAAGGCTTTTTGGCGTCATTATCAATGTGTAACCTTTGTTAAAGACATTACCTGTTTCATTTAGATTTATTCAATCATGTATAAACACTCATGAATGGAGTTGGTCAAACATCCAAATATTGGGCCACAGAGCTTCGGCAATAGATGGCGCCGGATACGGTTTGCCTCTCCTCTTGTCTGTGGCTTCCCACGCCTCCGCATTACAAAGTCAACTTACAGCACTTGAGATGCAGTTCGTATGAATGGCGCGATATGAAGTCAAAATGAAATCGTTTTAAATAGGACCCTACATAAACATCAGTAATAATATTTGGTCTCAAGGGGGATGCGATCGACCCCATCGCACTCCCCTCCACACCGCCCCCTGCCCCCCCTTGGATCCGCCACTGTAGGCAGCGGGATAACAAGAACCCCTTGAGCCTGGACTTGAACAGCACGGAAAGATGTGAGGTGAGCCAGGTGAGAAATCAGATGCAGAGGAAATGTATCCGCATTCGTGGAAAAAACTTGCAAGTGGAATTCCCAATGCCTTTCCCAACTCTATTGAGGAATGGCTTTCATGCACGTTGCAATTATGTCCTAAAAATGGGCAGTCAAGCACAAATCTTGCGGTGATCTTTAGACCAGGGGTGGATATACGGCGGTGTAACCCGGAACGCTGTGGTCATGGATGTGAAATCTACACCAGACTCGGTCGTTCCGGAAGGAACCAGCAGAAAGGGCAGTAGCTTGGCGGGTAGTCTATGGTGTTTCTATCTATTTAATTCACAAGTGTCCGTCCATCACACTCTGGGTGTCCCAAACTATTTGTGGGGGCGGGGGATAAAAACAAATATACAATTGTGGAAAAGGTGTATGAACATACTTAACAAATATATACGTAACGTTGCTGTGTTATTTTAAATTAATGCCGCTGCTGACACAGGCGAATTTATGTTAATTGATTAGTCAATACTCGTATCCCCCCCCCACCCCCTTGTGCTCAGGCTCAGTTGGTACGGTCCCGATGTGTTTTAGAAACTGGCTGCTCATTGCCGCAGGTCGCCTGCTGGAAAACTTACACAGCCACACATCTCAAAAGTGCCACATCTCACCGAGTATCTGCTGAATGTCTTCCAGAAGAATGTCCCCCAAGTATCGTGTCAGCCCAAACTTGGACTTGATGAGGGCCAGCTGGGTCCCGTTGAAGATGGAATGGATGCTGCTGTCGAGTGGATAGTCAAAGTAGGCCGTGCAGTTCGATTTAATTGTGGAGTTCTTGGTAGAGCTGATGAATGTAAAGGACAGAAAAACCCCAGTGTTAGAAGAGAGCTGATGTTATCACAGTACCACAGGCGCTATGTTGATGTACCTGCATTGTTATCGTGGCATGATATTATTACCTGAAGTTTTCAAGAATTACTGAGTTGAACCCAGATATTATTTTCAGTTTGTTGATGACCTGTGAATACAAGAAGATAACATTCAATGCCACATGATGTACAGATTCAGTGAACTTATTAAGAAGTTGATGGTGAAGTATGACCAAACAACCCCTTTCGACCAAATGGGCACGGGGAAGCCTTTATCCAGCAAGATCTTATCAAAGACCCGTACATTATTCACAAACTTTACAGTTAATTTTAAAACATTTCCCCTGTGCTTCACGTGCCAGCCACAGGGGTTAACCCCCACCTTGTAGCAAACAGCAGTGGCGGCAATCCCAACTTACCGCATTTGTCATGTCAGCTTTGACAGCGTCTGTGATGTTGATGTATTGCTGGGAAATGAACCATAGTTTCAGCATGTATTTCACCTTCACAGCTCCTAGACGGGGGGCACACAGAATAACAATGTGAGGTGACAGCCCCCCCCACCCCACCCCGTGCTTGTCAGTATTACAATGGGAAGAGAAGTGTCTTTATACTTTTTATATATTCGAATGTTAAAATGTATGAAAACGAATATGTATCCATGTCAGGGGATTTTCCAGGTGAAATATATAAATGAATATTCCTCATGAAAACAAAGAGCCCTCTGGGAGTACCTATTTCAGCAGCATTGATTCAACACAGGCTGTACTCTTGACAAATTTTAAGACACACTTTCTCATCAGCAGAATCTGTCTTGCTTGAATTACTGCTTTATGACTGCCAGATATTACAGGCAAGGACCATCTTCTCTCCATGATGTGGGGGCTAGTTTGACGCCAGATTATACAACACACAACTCAATAATCATGGCACCAACCTGGCTTGCGAGAGACTGGGACGGTGAGGGTCCCGAACTGACACTTGTCGCCTTGGGTGACCGGCGTGCACGAGCACTTTGAGGCGCTGCAGCCTCCATCCGCGCCGTCCACGTAGCACGCCCCGCCGTTAACGCACGGGTCACTGGGGCACGGCACGCTCCTGCACACCGGCTTGCATGACTGCCCGACGGCTGGGAAGGAAGAGGAGAGGGGGGTCATGTGAGCGAGTGAACGCCAGAGGGCGGTGAAGAGAGAGAGAGAAGCGTGCCCGTGCGAGCCGCGGCCAGGCTTGTTATTCCGGTTACGAAGCCTCGCTGCCAATGCCCCCCAGGCCGCCCCGGGTTCGGCCCTCCCGTTGACATTTAAGAGATCACGCACACGCGTGTTTGTGTATTTTTGCTGACTCCTGCAAATGAGGCTATTCTGGGCTCTTGATTTCTTATCTGGTTAAACAAAATAATATCAACTATGTGCAAGGAGTAAACGTGCCCATTGAGACTGCTGAACAGTACTGTGACCACGAGCTCTGAACTGCACCATCATCTTCTCAATAGGCCGTCTTTTATTAAACCGTCCATTATAAAAAAAAAATTGGACAGGCGCAAGTGACTTAAGATATTCAATGACTCATACAGCAAGGTTTGATAAATTGACATGAGAATGTCAATACGCACATAGTGATTGCTGTAACCTCATTCGTTAGTTGTGCAATATTTCTTACTGAACCTGGACTCGTTCTCTGTCATATTGATGTTTTGTCTTTGTTTTTGTTGTTGCTTTGTTCACGTACCAAAAAGATACCTTTTAAAATAGCCAAGAAACTGACAAAACGCATTTATCCGTGTAACAAATCAAATCAACTCAAACTTAAAACTGAGTAACAGTCTGCGGAATTGCAAAACCACGTTAAATCAGTGGGGGCATTAGTGACGCAGCGGCGACCTGACTTAATTCCCTGCCTGAACTAACATCAGATCCATAGTTAGCAATATCTGAACCAGTTCTTATCACCCCCTTCACAAACATGCACTGACCAGCATGGTGAAGTATAGTCAAACGACTCCCGTGACTGACACGGTATAGGAAAGCCTTTAACCTGGCAAAGGAATAAAAACAAGATGATTATTATCTTGAATACATCTGTTCCATAAAAATAATATAGTAACCCCCCCCCCCCAAGTATATAATGGGAGGTAAATGCATATAATGGTAGGTTTTTATTTCTCCTCTCCTCTCGTGGTTTGGAATTCCCATTCCCCAGCCATCCCTTCTGGAAGCTCAAGACTCAAGAAAGCGTCTTTGAGTCGGGAATTTATTGAGAGGAAGTTTTTTTAAGTTTTAAGTTGTCAAGACCGCGTCTTGAGACACGGTTGCATTGTTAGCCTCTAGATATCCACTTTGTTATAGTTGTGCAATGAGTGATGAAAGCCTGCTATCGGGAGAAACACCGTGTGCTCGCCTGCTGCAGCTGCCTCGTGTAAAACACAGTGGCCGCCGGAACCCATTGTGACCATCTTCTCTGACACTCATTACACTTTTCCGCCAGGCTAACCTGTGTAGTTCTCATTGCAGATGCAGGTGAAACTGCTGAAGGTGTTCTGGCAATGCGAGTTGGGCCAGCATGAGCTTTGGTTCTCGCACTCGTCGAAGTCCAGACAAAAATTTCCATTGCTGACCATGCCCGGTCTGCAGGAGCAGTTCTGCAGCCCGGTGAGATTGAGGCAGGCCTCGATGCGCTCGCAGTACGTCCCGTTGCCTGGGGGGAGGGGGAGGAAGAGAAGACGTGTTCTCTGTTTTTAGAGGTCCCACATCGGAGATCTCGTAAAGCTATCCATGGGACGATTAATATTTTACAACTGAGTTTTCACATTAAAGATTCACACGTAACATTGTTCACGTAAAAAAATCGACGTGCAAATGGAGAGGAGTACGGGAAACAAGAAACAACACGGGCAATATTGTATTCATAAGCATATACAGTGTGGAGTAGTGGCACACAGTGGTTTGCACATTGTGCTAAGAAACCGGCCACCTGGTGATAGAAATTACAATTTTAATTTTACCAGGTAAGGCTCACTGACTATTC